GATCTAACATTGATGTTCGGTAAGTTTTTTGAGGACCACTCAAATAATTGTACTTGGGTTAAGATCTGCAGATGGAGTGGCAACTGAAGACTAGCGCGTCTAGCTGTTCGTTTCAAGGTTCCACCTATTCCATCACACGGTCCTTTGCCGTGTGCCATAGCGAAAAAATTCCATTCTACAGTAATCCATAAATCTTCTTTGTAATCAGATAAATTAACAAAATGTTTATAATTCTTGTACTGCTGAGGTGCACCATCAGAGAAAAAGAAAATTTTATGGACTTCAGATGATAAAGATTTTATGAAATCGATAATAACCCCAGAGTAAAGATGAACAGCAAATGCATCATGATTTAAGCAATCAGAAATTATGGCCATACTCTGATGAGTAAGTTCATTACTTTTTTTGTAATATATAACAATTGTGTAAACCGTCGCCAGGTCGTTATTCCAGTGAAATCCTGGCGCAACATCTTGAACAATGAAAGAATAATTTTCGGCGAAATCAACAATAACTATAAATTTGTTTTCATTTAAAGATTCTTTCAGTTGTCTTAAGTATACTGCTTGCTCTTTTGCAATAAGTGTTGTGTAGTAAAAGAGCCTTTAATTTTTCACCAAAATCATCCACAAAATCATCAAAGTTCTTTGTTGTCGTTTCGAGGGTTACTTGTGGAGTAGCCACCTATTGTTTATAATTAATTTCATCTATTTTAATATTTTCCATCTGAGTTAAAAGGTGTTTTTTTTATGTTTTCGACACCTGGACAATCTGAACAATTATTAAAAAAACACTGAGCTGTTCGTATTCGACATACAATAGCACTCAAACAAACATTGTAGGTTTTTAATGATAAATCTGACTCATCAGTTAACTATACAAAATTGCTGCCTGTTAAAGATACGAATAAATGATATAGATATGTAATAATAAAATTATCAGGAACTTGGACAAGAAAAATAAATCAGTGTTAGATTTTTAAATGTTGCAACGTTTCGTTGTATTTTACAACTTCATCAGGCAAAATTTAAGGTTAACACTGTTGCATATCAAAATAAACTCCTAAAAATTTCATTGTTTCACAATATATAAATAAAGTCAAACAAGTGGTCACCATAATATTAAGAAACTTAGTCAATTTCCATTCCATTTAAACAAATTAGTCAATAATAATCAGTTATAAAATTACAATAATTACATATAAGACAGACAGCAACAGATATTGATATGTATAACAGTATATCAAGTTGACTGAATAAATTTCAAATGTTCCTAATGATGACTTTAGTTAATAATATAATTAAAATCAATGTCGTTAAATTTATTTCTCTTTATTTTTTTTAACTTAGAATTCATGTGTGTTACTGATTTAAAAGCTTATTACTTGCGGTTTCATATCTTACCAATTTTTTTTGAGGGTACTGATAATATCCATCAGTAGCACCAAGATTTTTCGCTAGTCACACCATATGTTTGCTTGAAGCCATCACTTCCATAACTTTATGGACACTCCAACTTGATGGTAGTAGAGTTAAAATTCGGACGCATGTGGATCTACTCGTAGTATCATCGTTAAACTTATCTCTCAAACTGTTTATGATTTCATCAGCGTCCGAATAGCTGAATTCACGATTTATATAATTTTTTACTTCCAATGCCTTTCGCAAACTTTAAGCGACACGATTAACTTTATCGTCTAAGTACGTTTCACAGGTTCTTCTTTTGGCATCAACTGGAGATTGATTAAATAATGCTAATGCATCATTTATAGTCGGAAGAGTAGTACTGAGACTCATCGCAGACAGTGATTAACTGCTTTGTTGAACAAGTAATTCTTGATGGCTTGATGATGGCGCTAGAAAAATAAAAAAAATTACGAACTGAAATAAATAAAATATTTAAGATATATACTTGACACAAAAGTATCTGGTGATTCTTCAACAGGAATTATTTCGTCATGAATATTTTCATGAGTTTCGAAGCTTTCATTTGATTCATCATCAGTATCTTCTGGCAAATTTTCAGTATATTGATAAAGTAACTTCTTGTAACATGCACTACACACACGGTCATTAGTAGATAAATGGAAGTGAACAGCCAAATACTCAGGAAGATTTCATAAGGATGACTTCTTAACATGTTTATCAAGATTAAATGGATTACAGCAGC